TACCTGGCTTCCAGCAATGGTGGCGGTGGCTAGCACCTAGGATGGTGTTGGGACTGTGCCATTTTACTAACAGTAGTAATTTGAGCAACTAAACAAAATCAGACACTAACAGTAGATCTTAGAAGAGCCCTAATTTGCCTATACATAAATACAATATGCTTATCTATAAAAAATATATTTAACACAATAACTAATAGTGTAATATCTGAAATGATGAGTGGTTATAAGATCTGATCTCGTAATATAGAAGATATAGAACTAAAATTTAATAATAGCACTCTTGCATTTCAGTTTTTGTTTTTTTTTCTGTAGTTTTGCATATATTTCCACACTTGATTCTCAGTATATGAGCTAGGTGGGACAGTATTTTTATCCTCAAGTTGCAAATGGGGAAAATGAAATCCAGAAAGTGCAAGTCGTTTGCCTGAGACACGTGCCATTACAGAGACAGAAGCCGGTCTTAACCCCAGCCCTCTGACACAAGCCAGACCAGAATTCTCAGACTTCCCTCTTTAGTGATAGAAGCCTTCCCCACCCCCAATCTGGCCGCACCACCCACCACAAATGTTAGGGTTAACCCTAGCCAACCCTTTTCTTATCTGGCTATTAACACCCTCTGAGGCATTTGCCCCGGGCAAATTCAGTATAAAAATCTCCCTGGAGCCACGTGAGGCCTTTGGTATACCCTGGTGCTATAACTCGACCTTCCTCCATCTTGTGTGGCCATCCGTCTGCTGCTGTGTGGGGGCCCTGTGCCTGCACTCTGTTTGCTGTCACCTGTCACCCCTGCCGGCAGGCAAGGTGGGGAGGGTTCTGGTGTTTGCTGCGGATGCTCTACTCCGAGCAAGCAGAGACCTTGGGATTCTAGCACAGACTGACGGCAAGTGAAGAAAAGGTACATCTTGACTTTCCTTCTGAGCTTTTCTTTCTCTGGGACCCAGGGGGGTGCAGTGGCTGTGGGGACTGCTGGCGGATGTCTGGGATTCCTGTACTTCGCTGGGCACTTATGGGCAGGGGCTTGGTCACAGTGTGAGAAAAGCTCCCCTTCGTGGTTCTGAATGCAGCTTAAAAAGCTACCGAGCACGTTGATGTAGATAGGGATCGGAAGGGAGGCAGAAAAATTAAAATGAGGTGGTTTTTTTTTTTGGGGGGGGGGTTGATGTTTAGCTTCATGGATTGTGGTCAATCTAAAAAGATTCCACTATCGTATTGTAATTATTCAATCAGTAATCACAGAATGTAACACAGTGTGCAGTGTTGGTTAAGTGCACGACATCTTATTTATCTCACTTTTTCCCAGTGTGGCTTCACTTCCTTTTCTGTCAGTAGGAGGCCTTATTGCACATCAGTATACCTTGTATGTGCATGTTGTTGCACACCATATACCTAGTAGGGATTATAGCATGTTCACGCCTGTGTGTTGTTACACACTAGTATGCCTCATGTGTGTTACTCCATGTTAGTGTACATAGTAGATCTGTGTATATATGCATATATACATGTATATACATATATACACACACGTATGCTACTTACCCCACACCCATTTTCACCATTTCCTTTTTAAGGACTTCACGGGAAGTCCATTTTATTTATTTATTTATTTGTGTTCATACCCACTTTCTATCAGCAAAAGGGTTTTTAATTCTAACACCAGAAAATTTCCTTACCAAAGGAGCCAGGGGACCAGAGGCTGCCAAAAACTTGACCCATTTATTCTCTTGCTTCCAGACCAAAATCACACCGAGCGTACAACCGACGAATCATCTGTTTAGTTTGTCCAACTCCTCAGGCACGATCAGTTCCCTAAGAGATTTTCCTTTCTGCCAACAAATTTATATATTGGATAAATTCTTCCTGCTCAAGTTTTCTTTTGCCAGAGTTAACTGGGCACGTGGAACAACTGGTCTGCATTATTGCTGCATCAAAATGCACTTTGTTGCTCACTCCGTCAACCCCTGGGCTCTCCTGTCTGCCCTGTCGGGGTGGGAGTGATGGAAACCCACCCTCCTGGGTTTGCCCCTCAGTGTCTCGGGCAGGCCCAGGAGGGAGGATTTGTCTCTGGGTCACCGGCTGGCACGTGGAGTGCTTGCTTTGGTGTTTATTGGGTGCATCCTAGCAGACGTGAGTTTCCGGCCTTGGGTTCCCAGCACTCCTAAAGGATGGGGCTGGTGGCCTGTTTCCTGACGTACCACATGAAATAAAGAAGCAGGTCGTGTGCTGACTTTGGCTTGCAGCCCGCTGCTGGGGCCTTCCTCTTGGAGCCGCTCTACTGCTTGGAACCTTGGCCCTTGTGTGTCTGTGAGTGGCTGGAACAGGCGCCGCTCTGTGGCAGCTTTGTCCCACGGGTGCTGCGCGCTGCACGCTCCGGGCCCGTGCAGTTAGGAAGCGCTGGCACACGGAGGGCTGCCTGGTGACCCAGGAGCCTCTTGTCCTTAGGGTGCTCCCTGGGCGCTGGTCTAGACGGAAGTAAACAAATGCCGCCCCTCTCAGCACCGTATTGCGGAGGTTTCCGTGGGAGCAGCCTGCGGGGTTCCTGGCCATTTTCAGATCCCCAAGACGCTGAGAAGCGACCCGCGGCTCGGGTCTTACCTTTTGAAAGGCAGGCTTCTTGTGGCTCAGATCTGGGCCAGGCAGCCAATGTGTGTCCCCTCCTAGGGACAGGAGCACTGCCCAGCACAAGTTACCATTTGAGCCGCTTCGTAGGCGCCATCTGGTTCAGCCGCATGAATGAGAGTCTGGCCTCGGTTTTAATGGACTCCAGTGAGCCTGTAGATTTTATGCTGCTACCTGAGTGGAAAATTTCTGTAGCTTCCCCCTCTCCTTCAACTTAAAGGGTATTTGTATGGCTGGACTTGGGCAGGAGGTGCATCTTTGGCCGCATTAGAGGAACTCAGGTCCATTGCTCTTGCTCGCCTCTCATTAACTTCAAATCCAGAGATCCATGATGGCCACTACGCCCAGGACGAGACTCAGCATCTCTCCTTGGAGGTGGAAACCAGCACCCGCTGTGACTGTGAGAGTGGCTACTGTCAACGAACCAGAGGGTAGCATTGGCGAGGAAGTGGGCTGCTGGGACCCTGGTGCTCCACTGATGGGAACATGAAGTGGTGTGGCTCCAATGGAGAACAGCGTGGCCATTCCCCAGAGAATTCAGAATATAGTAACTCGGTGGTGCAGCAGTTGCATTTCTGGGTTGTATAACTGAAAAAATTTGAAAGCAGGGTCTTGAAGAGATATGTGTGTACCTGTGTTCTTAGTAGCATTGTTCACAATAGCCAAGAGATGGAAGCACTCCAGACACCTATGGATGGATGGACGGATGAAGTGTTGTACATACAGATAATGGAATGTTACCTGGCCTTAAGAAGAAAAGAAATTCTTTGTTGTTGTTTGTAAAGATTTATTTATTTAGTTGAAAGAGTTACAGAGAGGCAGAGGCAGAAAGAGAGAAAGATCTTCCATCTGCTGGTTCACTCCCAAAATGGAGCTGGGCCAATCCAAAGCCAGGAACCAGGGGCCTCTTCTAGGTCTCCCATGTGGGTACAGGGGCCCAAGCATTTGAGCCATCTTCTGCTGCTTTCCCAGGTCATAGCAGGGAGCTGGATTGGAAGTGGAGCAGCCAGGACTTGAACTGGCACCCATATGGGATGCCAGCACTATAGGCGGCAGCTTTACCCGCTATACCACAGTGCTGGCCCCAAAAAGGCAAGAAATTCTGATACATCCTACTGCATGGATGAACCTTAAGGACATTATACTAAATGAAATAAAGCAGTTACAGCAAATACTGTATGATTCCACTCATACAGGTGCCTAGAGTCACCAAATTCGTAAAGACAGAAACTAGGATTCTGGTTGCCCGGTCCTAGGGGAAGTGGGGCTTAGGGAGTCAGAGGGTGGTGGGAGCAGGGCTCAGTTCTGCAAGATGAGAAGGGCTCTGGAGATGGATGGTGGCACGGCTGTGCGCAGGGTGAACTCTGCACACTGCTGAGCTGCACACGTAGAACTGGCCCAGACCGTGTAGTCTGTTACAACACTGTGGCACAGTCAAAACTAAAATGCAGAAAAGGAACTAAAAAGTCCCTGCTGATGCCTGCAGCTCTTTTCCACCTCTCAGGGACAAGTCAAGGCTTTGTGGCCCCTCAGGGGAACTCCAGGGGGCAGCCAGCCCCCTCCCAGCCTCCCAACCCTACCCCACCCCAAGCCACACCTGTCCTGCAGGCCTCTGGTCCCTACTAACAAGCTTGTGAGAACAACTTCTAATCTCATTTAGGGGTGGAACCTCTGTAGCTGTTACTTTAGTCAAGGTCTTTTCTTTGTGATTCTACCTTTAAAACAAAAAACAAAAACCCTTTAAATGGCTTTGTTCCATGGGGAACAATCAGCCGCTCCTGTGGTGGGTGGTCTTATCTCCAGGTTGCCTCCCCAGCAGTGGGGGTCAGTCCTGCCTGGCTCCCTCCCTTTTGTCCTCTGAGCAGGCAAGTGCAGATGTCATCCACACCAGGTGGGGTGGACACATCTGGCTTCCTCTGCACCTTCCTGACACCTGAGCAATCAGCAGTCCACAGGTGTTTCTTCTGGGATTTGAAAAAACTTTTTTTTTTTTTTAAATTCGAAAGGCAGGGCAACAGAGAGGGAGGGAGACGGTGATCTATTCACTGGTTCACTCCTCAGGGGCCCACAACAGCTGCTGCTGAGCCAGACCAAAGGCAGGAGCCAGGAACTCCAGCTGGGTCTTCCACGTGGGTGGCAGGGGCCCTAGCACTTGGGTCTTCACCTGTTGCCTCCCAGGCTGTACTGCAGCAGGAAGCTGGATCGGAAGCAGAGGCACTCCACTGTGGCGTGGGTAACCCTCTGTGGCACGATGCCCGCCCCTCATGTAGGACTTTGACAGTGATCCTGAGCATTTGTCTTCAGATAATTTTCATGAGACCTTTCCGGGTTTGGGGTTTGGTGCAGAATGCCTGATAGAGTGTTCTCGAATTTCTGTTTTTCAGCACTGCTTCATGAACTCCTTCCCCTCACTTGTGAAGTGCGCTGAGTGGGTCCCACGGTCATGTGAAGTGCACTGATCTCCCGTCTCCCTCAGAGCGAACACCAGGCTGCAGGTAAGCCCAGCTCAGGTGCTCTGGGCACATGTCCAGGTTCAATGTTTCAGTTTTAAAATGCTTGATGATTCGTCGCCAAAGAAAAGCCGACTCATTTCCTTGTGGTGTGCGACTGTACATTTTTAAATACAAAAGAATTCAAAACCAAATTTATCTGGAAACGTAATTGGAAGCATTACCTCCAACTTGCCTAAAGTAAAGGCTCCCTGAGGGCAAAGTTTGGATCCCATGTCACTTTTTTTTTTTTTTTTTAAGATTTTATGTATTTATTTGAGAGGTAGAGTTACAAACAGTGAGAGAGACAGAGAGAAAGGTCTTCCTTCCATTGGTTCACTCCCCAAATGGCCGCCACGGCCAGAACTACACCGATCCGAAGCCAGGAGCCAGGTGCTTCTCCTGGTCTCCCATGTGGGTGCAGGCACCCAAGCACTTGGGCCATCTTCCACTGCCTTTCCGGGCCACAGCAGAGAGCTGGACTGGAAGAGGAGCAGCCAGGACTAGAACCTGGTGCCCATATGGGATGCCGGCGCCACAGGTGGAGGATTAACCAAGTGAGCCACGGTGCTGCCCCCCACCCCATGTCACTTTAAAACCTGAACTCACTCCCATCATTTTCTTTTTTCTTTCTTCTTCTTCTTCTTCTTCTTTTTTTTTTTTTTTTTTTTTGGACAGGCAGAATGGACAGAGAGAGAAACAGAGAGAAAGGTCTTCCTTTGCCGTTGGTTCACCCTCCAATGGCCGCCGCGGCCAGCACGCTGTGGCCGGCGCACCACACTGATCCGAAGGCAGGAGCCAGGTACTTCTCCTGGTCTCCCATGGGGTGCAGGGTCCAAGTACTTGGGCCATCCTCCACTGCACTCCCTGGCCACAGCAGAGAGCTGGCCTGGAAGAGGGGCAACGGGGACAGAATCCGGCGCCCCGACCGGGACTAGAACCTGGTGTGCCAGCGCCGCAAGGCGGAGGATGAGCCTAGTGAGCCGCCGCGCCGGCCTCCCATCATTTTCTAAAGTGAGAACTCCTGAGGCTTCTAGAAAAGCTCTGGAGGTTAGTTGTCGTAAAATGCTTCTCTCTCCTAAATCAGAGTCTCCTTCTGCCCCACTGCCCACTTTTTGTAAATTTCAGCTTCACGGTTGGGAACTTCCTTTTTTTTTTTTTTTTTGGAGCATCCGCCTCAGTTCATGTGTGAGAACTTCCCTGGAGCATGGTCCCTGGGGCGATGGGCATCTCAGAGCCGGGATTCCTCAGGCACTTGGCCCCTCTTCCGATGGTTGCACCCAGACGTGACTGAACATGTTTAAAAAAAAAAAATTGTGTCCGTGCTGAGCACACAGGCTTGCTTTTTCTTGTTCTTTCCCCTAAACAACACTCGGCTGATTACCTCTTATTTACTTTACCGTAGACTTGAGAAGGAATCCAGCGATGATTACACAGGATGTAGGTAGTGCTGTGCAACTAGTAGGCCTTTTTATATCATGGGCTTGAATCTGCTGGTTTTGATAGCTTTATGGGGGACCCTGGAATCAGTCCCCATGGATGTGGAGGGACGGCTGTGTGGTGGTTGGGTGTTAGTTCTCCCACGTATCTGCTACTAAACAGCAGATACTTCCAGTTCATCTTTCTCCTTGAGAACCATTAGTTCAAAACTTGTGCCCTGTGGCTCATGAGCAAGGAGCCCACCTGAGCCCCTACCCTTCCAAGAGGAGGCGGCCACAGAGGCTGCTTACCTCCCGGGTCACGTGAGGGGCTTCTGTCCTATGGGAAAGTCGCTTAGGCGGTGGCTCTTACCCGATGTTAACCATCCTTAATGCAGGTGAAGATGGGCAACTCGGAGAGTCAGTACACCCTGCCGGGATCTAAACACCACAGCCAGCTTCCTGGTGTGAAGCAAAAGCCTTGCTCCCTGAAGATTCGCAGCGTCCACGCGAAAGATGAGAAGTCCTTGCAGGGCTGGGCGCCCGGAGGCAGCGGAGCCGGCTACAAGTCCAGGTCGCTGGCCCGCAGCTGCCTGTCCCACTTCAAGAGCAGTCAGCCTTACTCTGCAGCCAGACTCGCCGGGCCCCCCGGCAAAGGCCCCAGAGGCTCGGGCCACTCCAGGCACAGGGCGAGCGGCCCAGGGCCTGAGCTGCAGGGCCACCCTGCTGTCCTCTTCCCGGAGAACGGCTTCCAGCGCGGGGACCACAAGCCGCCGCCGGATAACCACACGACCTCGAAGGACCGCAACGGGCACCTCCTCAACTGCTACGGCCGACAGGAGAGCATGGGGTCCACGCCGCCGCCGCCGCCGCCGCCGGGAGAGGACCGCAAGAGCCCCAGGGTGCTCATCAAGACGCTGGGCAAGCTGGACGGGTGTCTCCGGGTGGAGTTCCACAGCGGCGGCCACCACGGCGCCGCCGAGCCCGGCGCGCCCGTGCAGCTGCTGAGATACTCGCCCACCCTGAGCCCGGACACCAGGAGGGGCTCGGAGGGTGGCGAGGGTGGCGGTGGCGAGAACTCCCCGCCCAGCCGCCGCCCCTCTCCCACCGACTCCCGCCTGCGCTCCAGCAAAGGCAGCTCGCTGAGCTCCGAGTCGTCCTGGTACGACTCGCCTTGGGGCAACGCGACCGAGCAGAGCGAGGTGGAGGGTTCCCTCCGGACGCCCAGCACGCCCGACCCCAGCCTCGCAGCCTGTTTCCCCCCGCCTGGCGACGCCAAGAAGCCTTTCAGCCAAAGCTGCTCCCTGTCCTCCCTGCGGGACCTGTACAAGGACGCTCCCGCGGGGCACCTCGGCCTGCCCGACGAGTATGCGGGTGCACACGCCAGCCTCAGCAACCGTGTGTCCTTTGCCTCCGACATGGATGTGCCCTCCAGGGTGGGGCGCGGCGAGCCCGGCCAGTACAACTCCTTCACCCTGCCGTGCCGCAAGTCCAAGGCCTTCCCCGAGGACCCGGCCAAGAAGGACACCCTCAAGGCCAGGATGCGCCGGATCAGCGACTGGACCGGGAGCCTCTCGCGGAAGAAGAGGAAACTGCAGGTGAGCCCTGGGGGGCACGGAGCCCAGGGAGGGTCCCCCGGAGCCGCGGCCGTCAGGGGGATGGGACACTGCTCAGCCCTGGGGTTTTGCTGCTTGTGCTAATCAGGATGTGCACTTTCACCTTTTTAAGTTTTTTTCAAAGATCTGCTTATTTACTCTGGGGCTGCGGTCCCATCTTTTGGATGCAAATGTTAGAGCTGACCTGTGCACTCAGCTTCCTGGAACCAGTCATCCGGCATCTCTCCTGTGCACCCAGGACGCCTGTGGCCTGGCTTACTGTTCCCCATCACGGAGGGGACAGCAGTTGCCGGAGTCAGTCTCGTGGGTTCTTTTCCTTGGTATAGAAATAAAAAGCCAGGAAACAATTTGCAAAGAGGCAGAAACTTGTATTAGGAATGAAATTTTTCTTTGGCAAGTGGCAAGAGAAGGCAGAGAAGAGAGTGGGCGAGTGCCCAAGTGGGACTGGCTTTGAGGAAGTGTCCTGGGTTTTTAAAGCATTACCACTTTTCCCCCAATTGGGTCATTCTGTGGATTGGGGCTTCACATCCTGTATGTTGATTGGCTTGGGGCTCATGGAGATAACGGAGGTCTCCTGGAGACTGTCTCCTTAGAGGCTCAGCCACCCTGGAGGTGTGATTTCAAGGTGCCATAGGATAGCTGGGGTCTCCTAGAACCAGTCTGGACTCCCCAGGGGCTCAGCCCCTTCCCTTGCCGGCTCTGAGTGAGAGATTGCACCCACCCCGAAGGTAGATTAAAGCCGCAAGGTCACACCTGCAGCAGAGAAGCTGTCCGTGGGGGAGATGCCGGTTGGCCTGGAGACAGCTTTCCAGCCCCAGCTGACAGCCTGCTTGTGAGGGACATTCTACCTGTGTCTGAAGGGGCCCAGAGACCCCAGCCCTCCGGACGGCCTCCCTTACACACTGCCCTTCTGAACTCATTCCCATCCAGGCTGCTTCCGAGTACACCACTTGCCTCTGTGTGTCCATCACTTTCTCGTAGGTGCAGATGCTCCCTGTCCAACCTGCCCATGGGCACTGCAGCCCCTTAGCCCCGTCTCACCCAAAACCAGAACTGTGAGCTACTTGTGTGCCTGTAGGCGTGAGAGCAAACTGGTTAGAATCAAAGAATGCGAACTGGAGAGCTAGCGAGACTCCTCATTTTAAAAAGGACACTAAGGGTCAAGAATTTGAGGGTCCCTCCTGAATGACCTGGCTAGTTCTTGCAGAAGTTAAGGGGGTAAAGCTCAGTCTATGAGATCTCAAACACATTCTTTTTCCAGTTAGCTCCATGGCCAACGTATTGTGCATAGCTACTGGTTTGTAAGGTGATCAGCTATTTTGGATTTCTTAAAGAATGACCCAAGAAGACAGCTCTTTAGATTTTGCTTGTGTTCCCACAGTTGATGATCTCTAAACGTGAACAAGATGAACTTTTTTGCCTAGCCTGTCACTTCTGCATGATGAGCCTTTGTTTTCCTTTCGCAATTTAAGGTGAAAGTCAGGTTTATGTCCTTAAAAGATGTGACCAGTGCATGGGCACACTTTGGGATAACATCCAATAATAAGGTACCAGATCAGTGAGAATTCTCTCTCTCTCTCTCCCTCTCTCCCATATATTCTCTCTCTCCCCCCTGCCCCACACACTTTCTCTCTCTCTCTCTCTCTCTCTCTCACTCACACACACACACACACACACACACACTTCTGCATGAGAGTAGGCCAGTGGTCAGAAGGTCTTACCATGGTGGGGAGAGATACTGGTTTTGACTTTGGGGGAAAAATTGATTTAAAAAGAGTAGCCTTTTCTAGTTAGATCTTTAAAGCCACCCTGTGGTGTTAGAGTCAAAAAGCAGATTTATTTGCAAAAAAAAAAAAAATACAACTGAAGGAGGATATTAGACTAATTACAATAAATAGATGAATCAGTAAGTAAATAAGTAGAAGAAGCATGTGCCCCTGCAGAATGTGTTTGTGGATGAACTCTTCATGCCAACCTCAGCCACAGTGAGGCTTTCTTCCTGTGCCAGGTCTATTCGCAGTTGTATCCATGGCCTTGGCTATGCTCAGGTAACAAAGGCCTCTCAGATCTCTCGGGCTCAGCACAGCCTCTTTCTCACCTGTGCTGCGTGTTCACCATCAGCTGCGACTCTGGCCTGCACCCTCCGTTCCCTAGGACCCTGGGTCTACGGAGCAGGTGCCCTCGAACATTGTCAGCTGCTGTGGCAGAGGGAGAAGGAGCATTGCGTGTTGGCTTTTAAAGCTTCCACTTTTTTTTTTTTTTTAAGATTTATTTATTTGGTCAAGTGACAGAAATGAGGTGGGGGAGGGGGTGGTGAGAGGAAGAGGGAGAAATCTTCTGTCTGCTGCTTCACTCCCCAGATGCCCACAGCATCTATAGTATGTCTTGGCCAGGCTGAAGCCTGGAGCCAAGAACTGTATCCACATCTCCCACGTGGGTGGCAGGGACCTAGGTACCGGGCCATCTTGCACTGCTTTCCCAGGTGTATCAGCAGGGTGCTAGGGTAGAAGCACAGGCACCAGGACTTGAGCAGGAGCTCCAGGATGGGATGCAGGCATCGCAAGGGGCGGCTTCATCTGCTGTGCCACAACCCTGGCCCCGGAAGTGACACATTGGACTTCCGTGCACCTTCGTTGTGCAAAGCAAGGCACGTGGTCATACCTGGCTTCAAGGGAGGGATGAGATGGGAACTGATCCTGCCTCGTGCCCTCAGGGAGAGTCGGAAATGCTAGGTGTGCAGCCGTGATTGTTGGGGAGGTTCCTGTAGAGTGGATTCAGGATGCAGAGGCCCTGGGTTTTGGAACCTCTTGATTTTAAACTCTGACGACTTGAGAATTCACACAGAGCTTTCGTAGGATGGAGAGAGATGGCCGGAGGAGAAGGGCGAGGCATGGATTCAGTATTTTTTTCTGGAGTGTGAGGAATGCTGGTCACTTTTGTTTTAGTTCCTGATGAGTCCAGAGACATTTTTCCCCACCTCCCAGCTTTATTACAATGTCATTGACAAATGGCAATTGTGTGTGTTTGAAGCATACAGCTTGACGCTTTGCTGAACGTGTGGGTTGTGAAATGATCAGCCCTTGGGCTGGTGTTGCTGCAGCGGGTTAAGCTACCACCTGTGATGCTGGCCTCCCATATGAGCCCTGATTCGAGTTATGGCTGCTCCACTTCTGATCCAGCTCCCTGCTGAATGTGCCTGGGAAAGCAGTGGGTGATGGCCCAAATACTTGGGCCCCTGCCACCCATGTGGCAGACCCAGATGGAATTCCAGGCTCCTGGCTTTGGCCTGGCACAGCTCTGGCTGTTGCAGCCATTTGGGATGTGAACCAGTGGATGGAAGATCTTTCTCTCTCTTTCTGTCTCTTCACACTGCCTTTCAAATAATAAATAAATTTTTTAAAAAAAGAAGCGGTCACCACGTGAGGCTAGGAAGCATATCGTTCACCTCACGTGGTGCTCTGTGCGTCGGGGGAGCCCTGGAGTTGCACCTTCTTGGTGAATTTCAAGCATGGCCTACAGGGTTAGCGACAGTGGACACCTGCCGCACAAAACTCTCCAGGACTCTCTGGACTGCACCGTTGTACCGTTGAATAGCATCTCCCCATTCCCCACTTCCCAGGCCCCGGCATCCACCATGCCACCCTCTGCTTGCATGCGTGCAGCTATTTGAGGTTCCACAGATGAGACCACGCACGACTGGTCTTCCTGTGGAGTGACTGACGGCTCCTGAGTCACTCCCCATGCTTCCCCCGGTGCCCTGGCTCACTGGGTCACGTTAGCCGTTGTTTCCGATGATCTGGTTGGGTGAGAATGGAAAGCCAGCATTTGCTTTGTGTACATATGTTACAGGTACCTTAGTTTCAAACACATAACACAGTGGTTAGGAAATCTAGCTGGACATGTTTAAAGATGTTTTATTTAAAAAAAAAAAAAAGGCTTTTATTAGCCTGAAGTTAGCCACTGCCACTTGGATTTTATATGAAATCCTTAGAAGTGTGCTAGAGACTGGGCAAAGTCATGCCCATGTATAAGAATCAGTTATAAGTGCTAAAATGCAAAAAAAAAAAAAAAAAAGTAAATAAATAAAAAACCAAAAAAAGAAATGCAGTATATTACTATTTTTCAAGGAACGAAATTCTTGCTCTGCTACAGCGGATCATTCGAAAGTTCGCATTGTAACTCGAAGGTTGTCTGATGGGAAAGATACCGGGAGCGTTTCCAGGTCATGCTGGGTGTCGGCCTGGTTGTGCCTGTCTCTGGCAGGGTTTTTGCTTGTTTTAAAGCAGCCATTACGGCTTCTTCAAGTTATCAGGGCCAATTGCAGTGAGTCAGAGCTGAGATAAAGGTAATACTAGCCAAATGCCAAGTACTCTTCACTTCTGAGCTTTTTTTGAAGAGTGGCAAAGTGATACTTAAAAAAAACTCCAAGCATTGAAGTTTCCTGGCCAGGTGACTCACAGCAGCTGTTTATTTGCTGTGTTCCCCTTAACGTGTATAAATAAATCTGCCTCCAGGGAGAGGGAAAGATACTGTTTTCATTAGTAATAGCTCTGTTTGGGGTTCAGTGGCCGATAGCTCCTGGGTATTTGGAAGTCTGTTCAGTCACAGGATGGTTTTCCTGCAAAGACAAACAGCGTGCGATTGCAGCTTGATTTCTGGATGAAATTTCTGAGAAGAGAACTTGTCCACACCGTGGAATGTTCAAAATGAGGCCTTTAGTCGATTATCTTTGGGCCAGGTATTCCTCATTAGAAAAGTGTTATTCACTGAAGGGCAGAGAGGAGAGATTTTCCACCTGCTGGTTTATTCTCCACATGCTACTGAGGCCAGGGCTGGGCCAGGCTGAAATCCAGAGCCAGGGACTTCCTCCTGGTCTGCTACGTGGGTAACAGGGACCCAAGTACATGGACCATCCCTGCTGCCTCTCAGGGTGCATATTAGCAGGAAGCTGGAATCAGGAACTGGGAATTGAACCCAAGCCCTCCTCTGTGGATGCTGGTGGTCCCAAGTGGGCTCTTAACCACTGGCCCACATGCCCACCCCTCATTTTTATTTTAGTGTGTACAGAAATAGAGCTGAAAGCTCACTAGGAGCCGAGTGGACTCGAGTGTGTGTCGCCCCTTTCTGCAGAGTTACTGTCATCTGAAATGTCCATGCCTTTCAAGCCAGAAGTTAAACTCTCTGCTAAAAAATTTAGTCGTTGCTGTTTTACACCAAAACAGCCTGTTTTTGTTTTTATGATGATTAGACTTTGAAGAAACATATTTATGTTTTCAGGTCTGTATGGTCAGCTCAGTGTTCACTGTGTCCAGTCCTAACAGGAAGCAACAGTCATCATGAAAAGAATGAATTTACTTATACCTGCATATGTTTAATTTTATGCTGGGTGAAAATTTAAAGTTAAGGATCATGAGGTTTATTTATTTTTATTTATTTATTTATTTGCGAGGTAGAGTTACAGACAGTGAGAGGGAGAGACGGAGAGAAAGGTCTTCCTTCTGTTGGTTCACTCCCCAGATGGCTGCAACGGTCGGAGCTATGCCAATCTGAAGCCAGGAGCCAGGTGCTTCTTTCTGGTCTCCCATGCAAGTGCAGGGACCCAAGCACTTGGGCCATCTTCTACTGCTTTCCCAGGCCACAGCAGAGAGCTGGACTGGCAGAGGAGCAGCCGGGACTTGAACCGGCACTCATATGGGATGCCGGTGCCACAGGCAGAGGATTAACCAAGTGAGCCATGGCACCGGCCCCAGGATCGGGTTTTTGATATCCCCAGAGAATGAAATGAAGTAGCTACTCAAACAGAAGGGTATGAATGAATGAGTATATTCTACTCATGAAAGAAATTCCCAAATTAAATTTTAAAAATACTGTGAAAAAAAAATCTGCTGTTACCCCCAGCATCCTCCATGGCTAAGGAACCCCGGGTGTGTGGTTTTTGCTATGTGAGCCAGGAGAGTCAGGTGCTAGGCATTCCAAAGTCCACCTGTCCAGAGCTAGGGGCTTGCCAGGAGCTGGGCCTGGGTTTTCCATGTGTCTTCAATAGACAATTATCGGTTAACTTCTTGATGCTGCATCTAGGCTAGATTTAGGGCAGCTGGTGACATTTTAAAAAACATTTGAAAGATTCTTTATATTTTTTAAAAAATGCACATTTACTTGAAAGATTATTTATATTTTTAAGAAATACTCATTTATTGGAAAGATTATCTATGTATCCGTCTGTCAATCCATCCACCGGTTCTCTCCCCACAGCAGCCAGGGTTGGGCCGGGCCACTTGGTTGAAGTCAGGAACTGGGACCTCAGTCTGGATCTCCCATGTGGGTGGCAGGAACCCAACTACTTGAGCCATCACCATCACCTAGCAAAAAGCTGGAATTGGGAGCAGAAGCCAGGGTTCAAACGCAGGCACTCCCGTATGGGATGAGGGTGTTACAACCACCAGTTTTACATCTGTGCTGTGTTGAGGGAGGCAGACTCCAGATGTCCGTAGCCTCTGACAGGTGTTGGGTTGCCTTGCTTGCAGGAGCCAAGGTCCAAGGAGGGCAGTGACTGCTTTGACAGCCGCTCGGAGGGACTGAATGCAGACGCGCAGTGGCCCTTCCAGGCGTCGGCCTTGCTGTGGTCAGGGGGCTCGGCTCAGGTCCTGTCTCAGAGGAGCGAGTCCACGCACGCGGTTGGCAGCGATCCCCTCCGGCAGAACATCTACGAGAACTTCATGCGGGAACTGGAAATGAGCAGGGCCAACACGGAAAACGTGGAGACGTCTACAGAGACGGCCGAGTCTAGCAGCGAGTCGCTGAGCTCGCTGGAGCAGCTGGACTTGCTCTTTGAGAAGGAGCAGGGCGTGATCCGCAAAGCCGGGTGGCTCTTCTTCAAGCCACTTGTCACTCTGCAGAAGGAAAGGAAGCTGGAGCTGGTGGCTCGCCGGAAGTGGAAACAGTACTGGGTAACCCTTAAGGGTAAGTGCATTATCAGCTCGCTCAGGGCTCCTGGCCGTTGTCGGCTGTCTGCTCTTGCTCTTCTCCCTCTCAGAAAATGCCAGCAAGCCCAGCACTGATTTACATGAATGGGAAGGGGTTTTGTTGGGAGGCTGCCTTAAGGGTCCAGGTTCTGTCTCCGGTGCACAGAAGAACTTGAGGATGAGATGTAAGGTTAGCAGAGGAATAAGGTGTATTAGGCAAGCAAAAATAAACACTCAGAGGGGATGCAGCTTGTTCCAGAGTGAGCTGTACTCCATGAGGTTCAGGGTCAGCCTTTTATGTGATCTGGACGAATAAGGGGTGGTGCTTTGGGTGGAGTTTTCCAGAGAAGGGAGGAGATTTGCAGGAGTTTGGTGACTGCCCACTTTCTGGCATTTTTAGGAAGTCTCAGAAGTGTTAGGACCTCGGTGCACAGTGGGAGTTGGGGTGTCAGCCATGGTCTTTTTAGTCTGGTGATATTATGATAGGCTGCAGGTCTTCAGGGGGACACAGCAGCCACTTTGAATATTTTTTCAGGCACTGGTTCTGGGTGCAGGCTTTGCTGCAGTAGCGATTTGGGGTTGCTGGTTATAGGAGGAGTTTTAGAGGAAACCCCTGGGAGAGATGTGGTGACGTATTTCTTCTGACTTTTTCCTTTGATCTCTATCTCCTTACCCATAACAATTTGATGCAGAATCTTATATCTTTAAATCATACTTAATCTGCTTTTTAAAAATTATTTTTAAAAAACTGTATTATTTGTTTGAAAGGCAGAGCGAAAGTGAGATCTTCATCTATTGGTTCACTCTCTAAACATCTCAAACAGCTGGGGTTGGCCTTGGGCCAAAACCAGGAACCAGGAACTCAGTTTGGGTTTCCTGTGACTTGGCAGGGACCCAAGTGCTTGAGCCATCACCTGCTGTGCATTAGCCAAAAAACCGAAACCTAGGCACTCTGCTGTGGGATGTGGGTGTTGCCGAGTCAGACATCTGCCCCATCCAGAATCTTGGTCTTTTAAAAAGGATTTATTTATTTGAAAGGCAGAGTGACAGAGAGGGAGACACAGAGACACCTTCCATTTTCTGGTTTACTCCCCAAATTCCTGCAACATCCAGGATTGAGCCAAGCCAAAGCTAGGAGGCAAGAACTCCCTTGGGGGCTTCTACATGGGTGGCAGGCACCCAGATTTTTGGGCCATCATCTTCTGCCTTTCCAGGCAGATTAGCAGGGAGCCAGATCAGAAGTAGAGAGCGGGGACTTGAACTGGTGCTCTGGTATGGGATCTTAACATCCTAGCACCTCAAGCAGTGGCTTAACCCATTGGGTCACCCCTACACAGAATCTTAAGGCTTGCTTTACTGCAAGTACTTTGCCAAACCTGCAAAATATGGTTGGATTACTATTCATTTATATTATTCAGTGTAATAAATGATGCAATCTAACAGTTACTGCTTGCTACGTTGTAGGTATTCCTATACTAATCTTTGGCACTTTCCCTGCATCTGGGAGAAACAACCCCAGATAAGTGCCCAAAGGCGGTTTGGTCGTATGCAGTGTGGACTTTGCATTTCACATTCTGCGCATGCTCAGAACTCCACAGAGTGCAGCGGAGCCGCCCATTTGGTGACTGGTTTGTGTCATCCCACTGCTATGAACCAAGAAAATCTGCACCAACAAGCGCAGCTTTCTTCTTTTTTTAAGATTTGTTTATTATTTGAGAGGCAGAGTTACAGTGAGAGGAGAGAGAGAGAGAGGTCTTGCATCTGCTGGTTCACTCCCTAAATGGTTTCGGAGGGCAGAGCTGGGCTGATCCAAAACCAGGAGCTTCTTCCAGGTCTCCCATGTGGGTGCAAGGGGCCCAAAGACTTGGGCCATCTTCTACTGCTTTCCCAGGCCATAGCAGAGAGCTGGATGAGAAGGGGAATGGCCGGGACTCGAACTGGCACCCATATGGGATGCTGGCACTGCAGGCAGAGGCTTTACCTGCTGCACCACAGCGTGGACCCCTCTTTTTAATGTAATGGAAATAGAAATAAGCCTTCATTTTGTTAAAGATAGCAAAAGTTTCTTATAAGCATTGCTACATAAAAATTGCCTTGCTCGTGGGGAATGTATAGATTAGAAGAAGTCTGAGTATCCTGGAAGAAGCAAGAAGCTCTGAATCAGTGCAGTGCGGGTTGATTCATAGGGAGCAGGGAGATAGGTCCGCAGTCCTGGCATCACCTGCACCGCCCACCTGTGACTCTGGTCAGGAATGTGACCCTGCAAACCAGGAATCCCATCCAGGTCTCCCCTGCGGGTGGCAGGAGCCCAAGCACTTGAACCATCACTTGCTGCTTTCCCAGGCCCATTAGCAGGGAGCTGGGTCAGAAGTGGAGCAGCCTGGACTCAGAACTGGGGCTCTCAGGGGATGCCAGTGGCGTGTGCAGTGGCTTAACCTGCTACGCTATAACACGGATTCCCTACAGGCCTCTTTTCCTCCTCTGGATTTGGATTCTTTTTTCTTTTCTTTCTTTTTTTTTTTTTTGTTCTTAGTTTTTTTTGGCCCAAGGACCTGGGCCATCTTCCACTGCCTTCCTGGGCCACAGCAGAGAGCTGGGCTGGAAGAGGAGCAGCCGGGATTAGAACCGGCACCCACATGGGATGCTGGCGCTGTAGGCGGAGGATTAACCAAGTGAGCTATGGTGCTGGCCCCCTGGATTTGGGTTCTTGTGGTGATCTGGGGCTGGAGAGACAGGTTTTCGCAGGGCTGGCTGCGGAGATTGGCAGTCATAGGTTGGAATCACAGGTTGAATCTAGCAAGTTAAAAATTTGGAGGGGTAAGAAAAGTGATGCGTTAGGGCTTAAAAGTCAAATCACTGCCTACGGAGGGGGCGATGCAGCTGCCGCGTGCTGTAATTGAGAGTGATTTGGGGTTTGGTTTGCAAGCCAATCAGTGTGAGTTCGCAAAGTGATGTGGCTGAACTCAAAGTACGTGTAATTTACAAGAGAAGCTGGGATCTGCACTGCATCATTCGGGCTGCCGTGGCGTCTGCTAGAGCCCGGTGTTCCCCCCTTGTGGGTGGGAAATGATTCTCAGAAAGGCCCTGCCTAAAATCTCCCTACCTGGAGAGGAGAGTGAGCGTGCGTCCTGGGGCAGAGCAGCTGGAATTGTTTGTGAATCCTCTGGGGCTGCCGTCTCCCTGCCTGATGTCCCGAATGGGTGCACTTTACTCCCCGTGTGTCATGCATTATTTTTTTCTTTAATGTAAAGCTGATGCTTTGGAAAGTTCTCCCCTGTCTGTGGCTTCGGGCCCCTCTCCTGCCCCCGCCTTGTACTCCCCCACAGCAGTGCGGGCTGCCTCTGTGATGTGTGTGACCACATCCCAGCCGGAAAGGAGGGCGAAGGCAACCCGGAGACGTGGAGCCACCGCCTGGAGGTTGTTGAGGATCCGGGAGTGCTGATAAGACCGGGCCTGAGAATGTACAAGAGACACCGGATTTATTGTGGATCTGTCCGGGTTAGGATGGGACTCGCAGATACAGGGCAGGCGGATTCTACCGAAGCTGGAGCTGTGGGCGAGTGGGAAGGCACCAGCTTCCCGACTTGTCCACCACTGACAACAGTCATGCAGCCTCCTTGTTGGAGGCTCCTTGGGGACCAGGTAGCCTTTAGGAGCCGTGAGAGCTGATGGCTGGAGGGGAGCCTAGAACTCCTGGCTGCCGACTTCAGGGGCGGAGATGGGCCTGAGCTTCCCTCACCGTTGCGGGCCTGTGTCCTGTCTGTGCCGTGCTCTCTTGCTGCTTGCTTGAAAAACACGTCAAGAGCCAGGCTGAAGCCTGCTTTGTGTTACCAAACACACATTCCTCTGTTTCCTACAGCCGAGGTGCGGTACGTGATAAAGATGTTTTATTTTTCCCAGCATAACCTTTTCCACGGGGCTTTCTATACCTCCTTCCTCTGGGAATTCAGTATATTGAGTGCCACTTTCTTGGCTTAAGTCCCAAATTATAATGTTGAAGCCTACTTGTTTAATCTTGGTTAATGTGTGTGTATCTGTGTGTGTGCATACCCACACATAATGAGTTAAGCCAAATTCTAAAATTATCCTCAAAATACGGATGTCAGTGAGTTGGAAGGCGTTTGCTGGGGTGAGCAGTTCTCAGCTAACCCTCTGCTTACCTGCCTGCATAGAGTATGTAGGTGGGTGAAGGGCGCTGGTGTCTTTCAGGGGTTGGAGGATGCAGGGTGTTTTCCCCCAAGAGCCATTCTGCCCCTCCGCCCCACCCCCCGTGTCTCTTTTCCAGGGAGGGGACTTTCGTGCAGGGGACTTCCTGGGCTGAACAGTTGGTAATGCCACTAAAGATAACCCTCAATGTAACCCCCAGACTGACCGCACAGTGTCAGGGGTGGCACATAGCGTCAGAAGACCTTGGAGTTGATAACTCTTCCTGCATGTGGGCCAGAGCGGGGAGTGGAGGGGAAGTGTGGACCCAGAGGGAGGCAGCAGAGATGGGGCTGAAGGGGTCCAGCGTTAGTCGCTTTCCTGGTGAGTCTGCCGCTGATGGGACCCCTTTGGCTCTTGGCTTCCCTTGCTGTTACAATCCTTCTTCTCTCTCTGCTGCTGTGGCAAGAACATTCCCTGTGATCCCTCCAGGCTGACAACAATGGCCAGAGGAAAATGGGGCTGATGGCTCTAGCTCTGGTGTGGGTAGCAGGGGACTTTGTGGGTACCCGTCAGCCCCTTTGCATCAGCCCCCATGCCCCCTTTGAGATCTTTGAGATGCAGAGTTTCTTTCTTTTTTTTTTTCTTTTGTTTTTTTTTTTTTTTCTTTATTTTTTGACAGGCAGAGTGGACAGTGAGAGAGAGAGACAGAGAGAAAGGTCTTCCTTTTGCCATTGGTTCACCCTCCAATGGCTGCCGCGGCTGGCGCGCTGCGGCCAGCGCACCACGCTGATCCGATGGCAGGAGCCAGGTGCTTCTCCTGGTCTCCCATGGGGTGCAGGGCCCAAGCACTTGGGCCATCCTCCACTGCACTCCCTGGCCACAGCAGAGAGCTGGCCTGGAAAGGGGCAACCGGGAAAGAATCCGGCGCCCCGACCGGGACTAGAACCCGGTGTGCTGGTGCCGCAAGGCGGAGGATTAACCTAGTGAGCTGCAGCGCCGGCCACTTTTTTTTTTTTTTTTAAACATTTATTTTATTTTTATTTGAAGCAGTTACAGAGAGAGAGGTCTTCCATCCACTGGTTCACTCCCCAAATGACCGCAACAGCCAGAGTTGAGCTGATCCGAAGCCAGGAGCCAGAAGCTTATTCCTGGTCTCCCATGTGGGTGCAGGGACCCAAGGACTTGGGCCATCTTTTATTGCTTCCCCAGGCCATAGCTGAGAGCTGGATCGGAAGTGGAGCAGCTGGGACTCAAACTGGTGCCCATATGGGATGTCAGCACTGCAGGCCAGACTTTAACCCACTGCACCTCAGCACCGGCCCCCAGAGTTTCTTTAAAAAGTTAAACTGGATGCAATAATTAGGGTTGATTTCCTCTTCTTTAAATCGGAGGGCCACGCAGTTCTGCATGGAACTTTACACCCTGGCCTGGCCCTAACATGAAATGCCCATGTTTGGCTTTCACTCTCTCACCTTGCGCCTTCTGCTGTGTATGGGATGTTAGGTTTGGCAACATCTTGGCATCTGCCCAAGGCTCATACTCATTTCCTCTAGATGAAATGATTCGCGCCATGGCCATTGGGAGCACAGTGTTAGGGAAACCAGGACGCAAACATGGACCCATTGGAAAGAATGTGGACTCGGGTGTGGCTGGCATGGCCCCGTCACCTTTGCCCTGGTCCTCGGGCCCCAGGTTGTGTTGGGCTTACGGTTCCTGATTGCATCCTGGGCTGGTAGAGCAGACAGGCTCAGACCTGCCAGAAGCAGCGCTGGCCAGAAACCTCTTGCTGCTTTCTCTGTTTGTCTGTTTGAGTTCTCTCAGCCTCTTGGTTCAGGGGAGTTTTATTCGTGGGGAGGGAAGATTGCTGGGTGCTTCCTGAGATCATAAAGGGCTCCTTGCAGGGAGAATGGATGAGGGGGGCTGACATCTTTCCCTGCTGGTTTCTGGGCTGCACCGGGGCCCATTACATGGACTGACTTGTTCATAGTCAGGCTTGCAGTTAAAGGAAATAATGAAACTGCAGAAGTGACTCAGTTTTTAAAACACTTAGACTTTAGGAATGAGTGCATGTAACTCTATGGATAAAATACTGCATTCCTCCATAAGGCTGGTGCTTCCCTATTGTAATTATGAAAGGTACCTAAAGGGAGGGAATCGTGGTGCAGAGGGTTAAACTGCTGCTTTTGCCGCCCACATCCAATACTGCAGCACCAGTTTGAATCCTGGCTTCTCCTCTTCCAATCCAGCTCTCTGCCTATGTGCCCTAGGAGGCAGCAGATGAAGGTCAAGTACTTGGGTCCCTGCCACCCATAAGCAAGACTCTTATCAGAGTTCTATGTTCCTGGCTTTTGCCTGGCCCTGCCCTGGCTTTTGAAGCTTTTTGGGGAGTGAATCAGCAAATGGATAATCTCTCTCTCTTCTCTCTTCTCTTTTCTCTCTTCTCTCTTCTCTCTCTGTATCTCTCTACTTTCAAATTAATAAAATCTTTATAAGATATTTTCAGAACATACAGTTGGTGACCATGTCACTGATATTTAGTTGGCAAATGAGAAGTGTTCAAAAATGTTTATTGGATAAAGGTTTGAAGGGTTAGTGAAGATAAACAAGAGAACAGACATTTGAGCATTTTCGAAGCATTGATTTGCTTTGAAAAATTATAATTATGAGGCATTCCTATGTAATTATGAAAGCAGACTGTATCCTACCTGTGTCCTTATTAGGAGAAAAATGGGTCCTGAGTAGTATTAAAAGTGCCGTCATATTTAGTGTCATTTTGCTCCCTTAGTCTCAGTTAGCAGGATTGTGGTAATGTTTCCATCAGTGCGGGATAAAGTGAAGTTGCTGTACACAGCGCTGGAGGACCAGCTGAGGGCTTGCCCGTAGAGGGCCGTCCCTGGGTGTGCTTGCCTGCTTACTGCAGACTGCGGGTGTGGCTGATGACTACGGGAATTTCTGCAGCGCCCACCTTTACAGTCCCCAGGGAAAGCAGTGCTGTGCTTAAGGATGAGCGCAGTGGGGCCGGAGGCCTGGGTTCACGTCCCTGCTCCTCCGTGGTCCACCTGTGGGGCCTGTGCAGCGGCTCCCACCCAGGATTCTCCCTGCAGGAGTGGAGTAAATAACCCTGTCCCCGCCTCAGGCTGCGGCAGGGAGGAAGAGAGCAGGATCCTTCCACGAGCTAAACAACACGTGCTTGGCCTCGTAGTTACTGATATTAGTCCACGAAAATAGCTGCTTTTCGCTTCAGTTCTTGTTAATACAACCCGGCCTGCTTCGGATGCCAGCCTCTGCCTGCTCTGTGTTTGGGTTCAGTGATTGTCTCATGTGGGTCGGGGGTTCCTCGGCGTGTGTCAGTTACCTTCTCACATTCTTTGGCTGCTCTTCCGCAGGCTGCACGCTGCTGTTTTATGAGACCTACGGCAAGAACTCGGCGGATCAGACCAGCGCCCCGCGGTGCGCGCTGCTTGCGGAAGACAGCATAGTGCAGTCTGTGCCGGAGCACCCCAAGAAGGAAAACGTGTTCTGCCTCAGCAACTCCTTTGGGGACGTCTACCTTTTCCAGGTATGGCCCCGGCACCTGGTCCGTGGAGGGCTGGGCTGCTGACTTGTGTACTGTCGGGATGAGAAGGAGCAGAGTTCAAAGGAAAACTTAGACATGACAAAGAGTAAGCAGCTGGGCTTTGGATTTGGGCGTAAGCCACAGACCTTGGCCTTGTCCATCTGCCAAGTGCAGTGAGGTCATCACAGACCCGGTGGTGCATACAGCAGGCATCTCTCAGAGGCCCACAGAGTGCCAAACCGTGGCCCCTCAGCTGCTCTTCGGAAGACAAAGAGAAAACATTTACTTTCTGTGCTGGGGTGGGTCAGGTGAGTGCAGTGTCCGAGAGGCTGCTGGGCTGGGAGCTTTTTCAGTGAAGCCCGGACAGTCTGGGCAGGAGGGGCTGAGGCTTCTCCCGAGGACCGCACGGAAGACAGGAAGAGGCTTTTCAGGAAAACCCCGATACGTGTGCTGCGACGTCTCCTTCCCCAGTGAGCTGCTCTTGGGGTGTTAAAATTCAGGGTATCTGCTGCTAGGAATTTTTTTTTTTTGACAGGCAGAGTGGACAGTGAGAGAGAGAGACAGAGAGAAAGGTCTTCCTTTTGCTGTTGGTTCACCCTCCAATGGCCGCTGTGGCCGGCGCACCACGCTGATCCGAAGCCAGGAGCCAGGTGCTTCTCCTGGTCTCCCATGGGGTGCAGGGCCCAAGCACTTGGGCCATCCTCCACTGCACTCCCTGGCCACAGCAGAGAGCTGGCCTGGAAGAGGGGCAACCGGGACAGAATCTGGCGCCCCAACCGGGACTAGAACCTGGTGTGCCGGCACCGCTAGGTGGAGGATTAGCCTAGTGAGCCACAGCGCCAGCCTGCTGCTAGGAATTTTAAGCAACTTTGTAGCAAATGGAAAGTTTCGGCACCTGTGGTGCTGAGTGATGAGTCCTGGTGTCTCAGTGGCTTTGAATTCTGGCGCTGTTGCTGAATACAGGCATCATGGCGCACATAACTGAGTTTCTCCATGCTTCGACCCTTCAGTGGGATCCGACGGTTTACAGGATTGCTGCAAGGGTAAATAATATAATCCGTCTATGCTAAATGCTACAGAATTCTATTTCAAATGAACTCAAAGGAGGTGGAAGTAAAGCGAGCTTCTTAGATGACCCCTAATCCAAGCCCAGTGCCTCGCCGGTAACCTTGATAGTTGGCTGCATCTGGCCGAAAGGGTCATGGACAGCCTCATGTGTCCTGGGTTTGGATCTCTGATCAAGTGGTCTTGAATGTCCTCAGCAGCCCTGCAGAACAGATGTTCTCCAGGCTGACTTTGTGATTCTAGAATTCTCTGCCGTGCTGTCTGCAACAGGCTTTCCTGGGACCAGCTCCAGGTAAACGTTTGTTCAGCCTCCTGCTGTCCCAGACAGACTCCACGTCCAGGAGTTAGATGCTGAGGTCTGATTTTCCTTCTTTCTCTCGCACTCTCTTTTTAAAAGATTTATTTATTTATTATTTGAAAGGCAGAGTTACAGAGAGGCAGGGAGAGAGAGAGAGGTCTTCCATCAGCTGGTTCACTTCCCAAATGGCTGCCATGGCTGGAACTGGACCAGGTCGAAGCTAGGAGCCAGCAGCTTCATCCGGGTCTCCCATGTGGATGGGACCAGGGCCATCTGCTGCTGCTTTCCCAGGTGCATTAGCGGGGAGCTGGATCAGAAGTGGAGCAGCCAGGGCATGAACTGGCGCCCATTTGGAATGCTGACATCATAGACCGCAGCTTATCCTGCTGCGCTACAGTGCCTGCCCTGGTTTTCCTTCTCTTAATAGACAGGCTAAGAATGTGCATGATATTCAAAGAAAATAATGAGTTGGTGTTAATCTGGGTTGCAGGGAAGAAAAACATCTTAGATTAGATCTGTGTGAACTTCTGAGGGGCAAGTATGAAATGAACAATTTTTTTAAAGATTTATTTTTTATTTATTTGAAAGGCAGAGTTACAGAGACAGGAGGAGAGACAGAGAGAGAGAGATTTCTTCTGTTTGGCTCACTTCCCAAATGGCCACAACAGCCTGGGCTGGGCTGAGCCAAAGGCGGGAACCAATAACTCCATCCAGGTCTTCCATGTGGGTGACGGTTACCCATACTTGGCGCATCATCTGCCGCCTCCCAGGTGCAGTAGCAGGAAGCTAGATCTCAAGCAGAGGTGGGACTTGGTTCCAGGCACTCTGATATGGGATGTGGGCTCCCAAGTGCTGGCTTACCCACCGTGCTACAGCACCCAACCCCTAAAACATTTTTCTTTCATGAAAATATATTGTATGATCATCTGTGCCTGTCCGTACTGAAGACAGAAAGAAAAACCATCCCATGTACTCAATATTTCAAAGACAATTACTTTAATGGTATTGTATACTCCTCCAATATTCTTTTATTGGTATTTTTCATAATTGAGATCATTAGTGTAGATGTAATTTACAACCAGCTTTCAAATGTAGTCCCAATATTTTCTCATTCTGTTAAAAGTCTGCAGATGAGCAGCTGGATTCAGCCCGGTTTTCTTGTCCCTGCCCTTGTTCTTGGCTGCTCTCGTCCTTCTACTTTTCCTCCCTGTTATCTTCAGGGCCCCATGATTCCTCGTGCTCTTGCTTGATGTTTCCTGAGAGCCCTGAGTCTGTGTGGAGTGGTTGCAGGGTTTTGAGGTTGCAGGGTTGCAGCTGTTTTCTGGAAGCTCAGGTGCTTCTCGGGTTTCACATCTCAAAACCCAGCCTGCTGCTTCAGAGCGCACGTTTGAGGTAAGAACAATTTCACATGCTCCTTCTCGCTGCTCTGTGTTTAGGCCACCAGCCAGACAGATCTGGAGAACTGGGTCACTGCCATCCATTCTGCTTGTGCATCCCTTTTTGCAAAGAAGCACGGGAAAGAAGACACAGTGCGACTCCTCAAGAGCCAGACCAAAAGCCTGCTGCAGAAGATCGACATGGACAGCAAGATGCGGAAGATGGCGGAGCTGCAGCTGTCCGTGGTGAGAGACCCAAAGAACAGGAAGGCCATTGAGAACCAGGTACTGTTTGTTTACCCTGTATTTTCTTTTTGTTAAAAAAAGACTTATGTATTATTTATTTTGAAAGATTTACAGAGAGAGGGGGCAACACAGAGAGAGAGAGAGAGAGAGAGAGAGATACTCTTCCATCTGCTGGCTTACTCCCCAGGTGGCTGCAGCAGCCAGCACTGGACCAGGCTGAAGCCAGGAGCTTTATCCAGGTCGCCCACGTGGGTGGCAGGGGACCAAGCACGTGGGCCATCTTCTGCTGCTTTTCCCAGGCCGTCAACAGGGAGTTGGATTGGAAATGGGGCAGCTGGGACAAGAACCGACGTCCATATGGGAAGCCAGCATCTTTCCCTGCTATGCCCCAGTGCCAGCCCTTGTTTCTACTGCAGCTCATGGCGCTCTCACAGCAAGGCAATGCAGACTTACATTGTGCGAGGCTTCCACACATGTTGGGGAATAGTTCCTGTGTTTGTCGTTTCCAGTCCTTCCCGGCTGTGCCTTTGGGACGGGAGATCTGCTGTACTTCTGAGCTGGGTACTTAATCAGGAACTGATTTCGTTGTGGCTCACAATTTGGAGGGCTGAGGGACCAGAGGGCATTTTGCTGACTCTGGCGAGGGCACCCTGGCTACACCACATAATGTGGGTGGAGGATGTGTGAGGGCGATCACAGGTGTGGTGGGCAGTGACAGAGTGATTCAGGGGACATGCTTGCTCCTTTATAGCGAGTCACTCTCACCTAAGCAGCTCCGATTAGGCCCTACCTCTTAAAGGTCTCACCATATATTTTTTTTTAAGATTATTTATTTACTTGAAAGAGTTACACAGAGAGAGAAGGAGAGGAAGAGAGAGAGAGAGAGAGAGGTCTTCCATCTGCTGGTTCACTCCCCAAGTGGCTGCAATAGCCAGAGCTATGCCAATCCGGAGCCAGGAGCTTCTTCCAGGTCTCCCATGTTCACCACCTCTTAATATTGTCATCCTGAGGTCCAAGTTTCCAACTCATCATCTTTGGGGACATACTCTAATCCTGTCCAAGCCACAGCACTGATTCATGCATGCCTTGCTCTTTGCTGAGCAAAAACCATGTCAATAAAACTACTTGGGAGATTAGGTGTACAGAACTCTAATGCCAAATGTGACTTTGGAAAGAATTGTTTGGTATACCAGCTATTCCAGTGTCCATGGATTCCAAAAACCCAATCATGGACGACCAGGAAATGCTTTGTGGGGTCTAGCTTCTCGCTCATGTACTAAGTAAGTAGGAAGCTCCCATTCTGTGTGCATTTTGGAGAAAGGGATGCAGACTTTCACTTTTCATGCTCCTGTGCCCAAACAACCTGACCAGCTTGGGCGAGCGTTCGTGGGAGCTCTGGCATCCCTCTGTAGGTCGGATCCCTGGCCTGGAGAGCTGCACTGCGCAGTTTATTGGGCGTGCTCTCGTGCTCTCGGGAACAACACCAGCAAGGAAGTGAAGAGCAGGACCGGGAGGACCACGTGGAGCTGTGACGCAGGTGATCTCCCAGGAAGCCCTGGAGCTGCTGGGGTCAAGCAAGGGGGCCAGGCCTCGTGCCCTCCCGTCAGTGGCTCCCCGCAGCTTCCCTCAGTGGGGATCAGTTCCTGAGTGGGAGCACTGGTGCTCCTGGCGGCCGTGGGGAAGGATGATCCTGAAAGGAGGGTGCACTACAGTGCCCACGACAGTTCCCTCCAGAGGTACTTGTCCAGTGATTTGGGAAACTGAGTGAAGAATTGGGTGGAAATGGGGTATTGGGTTTTTTTTAATTCTTGGCACATTATTACAGAGAGAGAAGATTTTTAAAAAATCATAGCAACATTTTGAAAAGAAGTTTTACCTACAATTTTTAAAAATTATTTATTTATTTATTTGGAAGTCAGAGTTACACACAGAGAGAAGGAGAGGCAGAGAGAGAGAGAGAGGTCTTCCATCCTCTGGTTCACCCCCAATTGGCCACGATGGCTGGAGTTGCGCTGATCTGAAGCCAGGAGATTTCTCTGGGTCTCCCTTGTGGGTGCAGGGGCCCAAAGACTTGGGCCATCTTCTACTGCTTTCCCAGGCCATAGCAGAGAGCTGGATCAGAAGTGGAGCAGCCGGGACTCGAACCACTTCCCATATGGGATGCTGGTGCTGCAAGTGGTGGCTTTATCTGCTACGCCATAGTGCCAGCCCCTACCTACAGTTTTTTATTTAAATCACGTGATATGAGTCACCCATTATGTCTGAATGTTTAGAATTGTTTTTCATCATATGTATTTGAAAAACTTAGCATGGCTAGAAAGAAACTTTTGGCTGTAAATAGGAGAGTGAGCAAAGGTGTGCATTCAAATGCTGTATTTGTGATAAAGCAAGGGTTTGGAATGCATCATTGATTGTAGCGAGATAGGCAAATCATCCCTGTCTCCGCCCCCCTCCTGCCCCTCATCAAGTACTTCTGACTGATGTACAGTGCAGGAGGAGCTTCTGGCCATACCCCCATTACCTGTTTGCTTCACCTGTTCTCACGTCCTTCTTGTCTTTCTCCTTTCTGCTTAGTTTCCCATCTGCAGGTATTGCCATACCTAACAGATGCATCAGGCTTTAAGAAACAAAAATAATGATAAAATGTAAATGTATACTTTAGTTAGAGAGCAAGGCTTATGAATGTGACCCTGGAGAATCTAGCATGATCTACATTAGGTGACAACTGTTGTCTTCATCGTGTGCTATGAGAGATCGGAAGACTGAGGTTGCATGTGATCTGGGGAAACGGAGATTTCTTAGAATAATGGCCTTAAATGTTGGGAAGAGGCATGCAAGCATGCAGGGTTTCCAGGCCGGGAGGAGGGACAGTTTGGAGCAGGAGTGGTGACTCGGGGCTCCTGAGGATACTGGCATAGTGGGGTTAGGCGGAGAAGTGATTATTAGTTGGCAGTTAGGGTGGACAAGTACTTGTCTGATTTTTTTCAGGGTCCTTGTCTTGGTGTTAACACAATACCATAAACTGGTGACCAGGCAGGGGCTTGAAGGACAGATTGAAGTGAGAAAGGATCATCAACCACACAGCCCTGGTTTGAGTGTACAGATACAAGGGCCTGGTCCCAAGTGACTAACAAGGACGTGACCATTTAGATGCAAAATATATACCAGAGTGTGTAATTTTCTAGAAGTCCATGTAGAATTTTAAAGATAGTGGCACCCCTGGATGGATCTGTCCCTCAAACAGGATATGCTGTTTACCGTGGGTGTACCTGCTAGCAGGTCCAAACTCCAAACGGTTCAAACAGGAAGTGAGAAGGAAGGTGCCAAGGAGAATGCAGGGCCTGGAAAGGCACTTGGGGGTTAACATGAACACAGCTGCTACCCCCAGAGCCCAGCCTGTGTTCTCTATGCCTCTGCTGGCTATGCTGGCAGAGCCTCACGCTGCTCACCGCTGGGAAGAGCGTGGTCCTGAGGCAGCTTTCGTCTGTGTGGGGTGGAGGGTGTGGTGCCCTGTCCCGGTGATGGGCCTGGACATCAAAAAACCGGAAGAAGTGATGCCCAGTGTTTTCTTTTTTTTCTTTTCTTTTTTTTTTTTTTTGACAGGCAGAATGGACAGTGAGAGAGAGAGACAGAGAGAAAGGTCTTCCTTTGCCGTTGGTTCACCCTCCAATGGCCGCCACGGCTGGCGCGCTGCGGCCAGCGCACCACACTGATCTGATGGCAGGAGCCAGGTGCTTCTCCTGGTCTCCCATGGGGTGCAGGGCCCAAGCACTTGGGCCATCCTCCACTGCACTCCCGGGCCACAGCAGAGAGCTGGCGTGGAAGAGGGGCAACCAGGACAGAATCCGGCGCCCCGACCGGGACTAGAACCCAGTGTGCCGGCGCCGCAAGGCGGAGGATTAGCCTATTGAGCCGTGGCGCTGGCCACGCCCAGTGTTTTCTTTGTACCACCTCACAGGTGCGCAGTTTCCAGCGTCCACCAGCCACAGTGGCCTGTTGTCAGAAACGTGACTTGTGGACTGCAGAGCCTTTGAGTCTCCAGGGAACCCTGATAAAAATCTCCTAGTGGGGGCCAGAGCTGCGGTGTAGTGGGCTAAGCCTCCGCCTGCAGTACTGGCATCCCATATGGCTGCTGGTTCCAGTCCCGGCTGCCCCTCTTCCTATCCAGCTCTCTACTGATGTAGGGGAAAGCAGTAGGAGATGGCCCAAGTGCTTGGGCCCCTGCACCCACATGGGAGACCTGGAAGAAGCTCTGGCTCCTGGCCAGGATCTGCCCAGCCCTAGCTGTTGGGGAGTGAACCAGCAGATGAAAGACCTTTCTCTGTCTCCTCCTCTCTCTGTCTGTAATTCTGTCTCTCAAATAAAGAAATCAAATCTTTTTTTAAATCTCATGCTGACCAGCAGTGGAAGAGTATGTCTTTTGTTCTGCCAATCTGATATCTCGGGAGCCGTATTTCAGTCCTGCAGCAGGGAGGCCCGGCTTGCACTCAGATGTTTAGGTCTACGGAGAGAAAGGGTGATTTGGCAACACTGAGAGGGCCCAGCTTGTGTGTGTGTGTGTGTCTGTGTGTCTGTGTGCGCGCGTGCGCGCGCATGTCCTTTATTGTATGGGGGGTTTCTTTATGATCACACAAAGGCCAAGCAAACTTTCAAAGACTTTTAATTTCTCACCAAGTGATTTTCTTCCCTTGACTCTGGTTTGTAAATGCTGGACTGGTGATGTCACAGCTGGTGCTGTACTCTGAGTGGGGGTGGGGTGGGGGGAGTTTAGCTTTGCACAGATCCCAGGTCTTGTCAAGAAGGAGGGTGGCCGCCACTTGGGGCCCTTTATCCATTCTTTGGCAGAACCGTTACGTTAGTTATTTTAAGCACATCATCTGAACACTGCTAATTTTCACATCCATTCTCCTCTGCCATCACCTGGCCCTAAGCCCTTCCTGCTTCTTCCTAACCCACCGGTCTCCTCCACCCCTCCACCCCACCATCCCTCCACCCCCCACCCCTTCTCATAGTACTCTTATATAAGGAAACAATTTGGG